ATATATATACATATATACATAAAAAAAAAATAAAAAAAATATAAAAAAATTCCCCTAAGCAGGAGGAGAAATGCAAGCGGAAAAACCAGAGCCCAAAACAAAACCCAAGACTTGCACCTCACCATGCCGCGCAGCTCCCCTCCCCCCCCGAACCGGTACCACAAGACCAGCATCGGAAAAAGCACCGCCCAGGAACCGGCAAAGAAGCGAAGGCACCAGCACCGAAAATCGCAGAACAACACCCAGCCCCACACCGAAGTGAATCCAGTCCCGGGCCCCAGGGATCTGAGGCCCCAGGGGCACCCAACCCCCAGACCCCGAGCCCCAGCAGTGCACCGGCGAGCCCCGACGCCAGCCAGCGGAGGGAGAGCAGGACGGGGGGAATGGGCTCTGCAGTTAGCGGAGACTTGAGATGATTTGGGAGAAGGTGCAGTCTAGACCCCAACCTGGGAGAGAAAAAAAAAAAAACACTCACAATCTCAATTATGCCTTCCCTCCCTAGTGCCCCCACTCACACCACAGAAAAAAAAATAATAAAGTACATAACTAAATAAATAATGAAAATAAATAAATAAATAAAATAAAAAGACGGACACACATTCACACATAACACTCACATCTGATAATACCAGGACCAAAGACCCGGTGGCACCGGTGGTTGGTCCAGGGACTATCCAGGGATGACCCAATAAGTGAACCTAAAATCCGGATGGGGCGGAGGGGAGCGGCGACACCGCCACAACAACCTATCTCATTCCTGCTTCAAGCCTGGCCACCCACCCCGCAAACGGACCGGACCACCCCCAACAAGAGCTCCCCACCGGGCCCGGGACCCACCCATCTTGCGCAGGCCACCCAACCAGAACCGAACCCCCAAAGAAAAAAAAATATATAAAAACCTACTTCATCCAGGCACTTCATGCCCCTTCTTCCAACCTTCTATGGGGAGACCAGAAGCGACAGCCCCGCCGCCGGCGGGCCACCGAGGCCCTGCAGCTGGCCTCAGCCAAAACCACAGACCAGGTGGCTTCCTCTTTCTCCTGGCCCTAGACTCCGGGAGGCAGCAGGAGAACAGGGGTGTGAAAAGACCCCGATCCTCCCTGCGCCCCCTCAGATGTGGTGTTGATGTGTGTTGCTCTCAGATTTAATTAAAACTGGGAGTACCAAGAGGGGGTGTCCGGCACAGTCCACACCCCCTTTCGGGAGATAGACGGTGCCAGCGCACCCCCCCCTTCAACAACCCTGAACCCTCAATGTCTAGATGCGAGTGGGGATGGAGGCCGACCGTGGTGAGGCCCATAAAATAAGCCCCCCCAGGTGGCCTTGACCCCCACCCCCAGAAAATACCCTACATAGATGTGTGTTGTGAAAATGATGTAGATGAAAGTGTCTAAAATGCAAAATAAAATTGGGGTGGGGGGCATCGTCAGAAGGTAGGGCCCTCCAGTAACAACCCCCTCCCCAATAACCTACATGTGTGGCAGTGTGAAGGAGCAGGCAGAGGGATGATTTCGGGGAAGGGGAGCAAAGGACTGGGGTGCTTGCTGAACTCCCAGGGACCCAGCTCCCCCGCTGACTCCAATAGGCACCCCCGTTCCCCGAGAGCCCCTCCGGAGAGGTGGGCCCCACCAATCTTACCACCATAGCCCGGAGCCCAGGAACCGGCAGAAGGACCCATCAGCCAGCCGGGCACAGGGCCGACACCACCACCCTCCCCCATCCTGTCCATCAAAAAAATAAAATGATAATAATATTACAAAAAATAAATAATAAATAAGGGGAGGGACAACCCCGGCTGGCCAGCCTATGCGCAACACGCAGAGCCCCCATCCCAGACGACGCCCCACCAGGGGACAGCACGGTCCAGGACCAAGACAGGGAACCAGACCAGAAGGCCTTCTGAAATCCTCTTCCCTCTATCACCACCCCCAATCCCCCTCCGCAGATCTAATCCCTCCCCTACAATAACATTCAAACTACTCACCACACAAGTGACAAAAGACGTCCAGGCCGAGACCATTCCTACTCCCCCTCCTTCCCCTTCCCCCACTTACAGAGTGCAAACCCCTGAAGGGGTAAGCATCTGCCATAGCTGTTATTGTCCATGCCCCCCCAGCCCAACAGGCCCCGAGGCACTCCGGCACACCAGAGGCCGCGGCAGCAGGGGTAGACAGCCGGGCGCATACCGGCCCAGACCCCAAGCAGCACCCCCCACAGAACCCAAGCCCCCGAAACCCCAACGGGGCCCCGGCCCGAGGGCAATGCGCCCCAGGGATCCCAGACCCCCGGACCCATCCCGGGCCCACCCAGCAGTAGGGCCGGGCAATGCCCAAAAACCCACGGCACCAGCACTAACACCCCCACCCCGACACCGGCCCCCGAACGACCCCCCCGACGCGGTCCTACAACACCAATCCGAAGAACAAGAAAGCCACACAACATAGCAAAGCACAAATCCCGAGTTCCATTCCAACCTCCGATTCCCCCACTCACACACCCCCTCCCACACACAAATAAATAAATAAATTCCCCCTCATTGAAGAACGGCCAAAAACAAGTCAGTGTCCAACACCCACCGCCACACCGTGAGGACCCCTCCACCCAGACGCTCCTCCCCAGAAAAAACAACATGCCTGCCCTCCCAGGAGGCAAACAAGCCCGCCGAACGGGAACCCCACCATTAGCGCACCGCCCGCATGCAGGGGCCCGAGCGGCCCCGACAGAAACAACACCGGAAAGGCCGATACAGACAAACCGACAGCACCAACCGAGCACCCAGGCGGATTCCCCCACCCAAAAACACAACGAAACCGCTCCATCCCGCCGACCACAGCAAACAAAGCCACAAGGCAAAACAAGGGACAGAGCAGCCCCGCCAGTCATGCGCTAGAGAGCCAGAGCAGCAAAGCCGCCCCAGCCATGCACCAGAAGCCGGCACAAGCAGCAAAAGGGAAGCAACAGACGCGACCCTGCCGCTCCCACCGTGCCCGGCGCGAAAGCAGCATGACCCACCCGGCTCTGGCCACACACCACCCAAGGGCCACCAAGAGGAGGAGGGCCGCACCGCC